AAAGTGAATGCAAAATGCTGTCAAATCTGAATGGTAAAGAGCCCCACTAGTGTAAGTTACAACACAAGTTGCAGGGCAGCAGAGGGTCAGGCCCCCTTCTCTCTTCTTTGAATGAGAATGGAAAGACTTTACGTTGAGGTATTTGTAACTCCATCACTGCTTTGGTTTTGTTGGATTCCAGAGGGGAGCCCAAGGGGTGGGGGAAGGGATGCTTCTTGCTGTGCGCAATACCTCAGTGCGAGTGACAACAGTCAAGCCTCCCTGTGGCATAACACATATTTTTCTTCTTCTTTTAGTCCTAATGACGGGTCCCAAATTGACAGCTCTGCAGTCTGCTATTTAGTGACACAGCTGAGACAGCATGGGCAGCTGCAGTACACACTTCCTCCCACTGCGATATATCTACACTTTGATCTATATTTGGACATCCGCTAGATGAAAGGCACAATTCTCCCTCCCTACGCATTCCATCAACTGTCTCACTCCTGAAGCTGTTAACAACTGTGCCTGTTATATGGGGCAAGGATTTTTGCATTGTGGACACTGGTCCTCCAGAACCTGGGTGAACCTCCAACTCCTTGCCCAGACACTAGATCAGCCATACGGAGGGAATGAGTTTTGACAACGTATGACAAGGGTCCTAGTGAATTCACAGCCATGAAAAATGTACCATGGACCATGAAATCTGGTCTCCCCTTATGAAATCTGGCATTTTCTGTGCTTTTATCTTATACTACAGGGAATTAATGGGGGAGACCAGCTTTTCCCAAATTGTGGGTCCTGATCCAAAAGTGAGCTGTCTCAGGAGGGTTGTAATATCATCACCTTTACTTTTGTGCAACTTTCACAGCTAGGCATCTGGAGAGTAGTGGCTATTAGCCAGGTGTCCAGCTCTGAAGGCAGTGCCCCGCCAGGAGCAGCACAGATGTAAGGGTGGTAATAGCACTTCCTGACTTCTGCACTCCTGCCTGCACTGCTGGGTTCTCAGTCAGCAGCCACCACTCTTTGGACACCCCGTTCTGAAGGCAGCAGTGCACAAATAAGGGTGCATGGTATGGTACTACCACCCTTACTTCTGTGCTGCTGCTGGCAGCAGCTCTGCCTTCAGAACTGAGGTCTCAGCCAGCAGCCGCTGCTCTCCAACTGCCCAGTTTTGAAGGCAGCACCGCTGCCAGCAGCAGTGCAGAAGTAAGGGTAGCAGTTCTGTAACCTTGCCACAGTAATCTTGTGAGTTCCCTTCCATCCTGCAACTCCTTTTTGGGTCAGGACATCTACAATTACAGCACTGGGGAATTTCAGTGTTAAATAAGACATTTATTATTTTTTAAATCCTATGACTATGAAATTGACCGAAATGGGCCGTGACTATGGTAGAGCTGAGTGCTCACTGTAAGCTGTGTGCTTGGGTGACCAGCCAGGAGAGATTCAGGTGCTGCCCAGCTGATTAGCAGAGTGCCCACAGTCACCCACAGCCAGCAGCATGTGTTTCTAATGCCTCCGTGCACACATAACAAAATTTACTTTGCACATGTAAGGAAAAAAATTAAAGAGACACAGACATTTAGCTCTTTAAATAGTGGGAGATTATTTAAAACATTTCCTAACCACCATGAATGTCATGTATTGCACATGCTCACTAACTTCCGCCAATATGCTTTAATAAGCAATTTTCTCTTTTTCCAATAGCTGGTAATTGCCTTATAAAATGTGCACTGAAAGATCCAGAATTAATCAAGCTTCTCTGATGACTAAACAGGAGAGATGTCCCCAACTCCCACTGAAGTCAGCCCCTTCAGGAGCAAAGACTAATGAGGACCAAAAGCCCACAGAGCGAGGACACTACTGTACGTAACAGTAAATGCCAGGAGAGAGTGGGGTTAATGTCAGAGTGGGCAAATGTGTATTTTGTAATTAAAGGTTGAAGTTTTCTACAAGATCCTTCTATTCGGCTGCTTTTTCCCACTGGTAAGCCAAAGAGTTCTTGACACCTTTTTTCTAGGAAACCTAATCCTCTGCCCATAATCTTATGCCAACGTTTTTGAGGAAGCCTGGAATACTTCAGGCATCACTGTTTGACTTGGTTGGTGTAATGCTAGCCAGGAAATGAATGGCAAAGACCCAGCAAAGCTAGATGAAGCTCCTTGCTGGCTGCACAATTCTCTACTTGAAAGGTAGTTCGTTCTGCAAACAGATTGAGTCTGCTGGGTTAGGAGGTTTGCCACGCTTGGTACAGCAAAGATGACACTGAAGGTTTGTTCAGAATGGAAAGCTACTGTGTACAGGTTTCAGCCTTTTCCAGTGTCAAGTCCCAGACACACTGAAACCTGAAGAATTAAAACAAATGATAGCAACAGTTTGCCCTGTCAAAGAGGCAGCAATCCAGCATATCCCTGCTCAAGGCAGAATTCCCCTGGGTTAGTATCAGTTTCAGGCTTCAGACTGAATCAGTTATCTGTGTGAGAAATCCCTGGCACAGAGTTCTGCTGATGGATGATCAGGGCTTGCTGTTCTTTATCTGTAGTTTGAGAATTCAAATAAGGTTAGATGCTCATGGCAAACTGAAAAGCAAATGAATACATGAAGGAGTCCAGACTGCAGACGTTCTGGGACTGAGTGGCTTCTTATGGGAACAGTGTTTGCAGATGGTGAGGTGATGCTTTTGGTGTAAGTCACCACAGCATCTTGTACATCAAGGAATCTACACTGATTTATCCCAGCAGGAGATCTGGCCACTCCCTTCCCTCCCCCTTTTCAAGGCTTGGTCAGGCAACCTTTCCTCAGGTAAGTAGGCCCATTTAAGTCCCTAGGGAGGATAATCTGAGTCAGAATGGCAGGACTGAGCCGTGTGTCACAGACTGATTATCAAATGGCATTGTGAACTCCATTAACCTGAATCATAATGAGTGATCAGCACATGGTTATGACCTCATAAACCTACATTAACACAGAGTACAAAATCAAGTGTCACGATCTAATTAGGATGAATACGAAAAGGAATATTTTTTTTAAAAGGCACATTTGTCCGTGATTCATTTTAATCACGCAGCTGCATGGGAAAAAAGCCCATGCCTCTCTTGGAGTGGACTTTGAAAACAAACAAAACCAGTGAGTTTTCATTTCTGATGGTAGTTTGAGTTTGGAAACCAAACAATCTGGAACTAAATTCTGCTTCCTCTTCAGCCTCCCATTTACCTTCACTCTCCCAGTTGGGTTCTATTTGGCAGGGTGTCTGAGGAAGCACTTGGATGGAGACACACACCTTTGCATAGCTACGTTGACTGGTCTGGAGCCAGGCATTCTTGAGTTTTAATTGTGGCTCTCTTACTGATACACTCTGTGTCCTGAAGCCATCAGTTGGCTTTGTGCCTTAGATTCTCTATTCATAAAATCAGAATAATAATGCCTACCTGTCTGCTGCCCAGAAGCTTTGGGAGGGTTAATTAGTATTTATAAAGCATTTTGACCATGGAAATTCTTTTACAAATGCCAAGTATAATTATAGAGACAAGGTGGGTAAAGTAACATCTTTTACTGGGCCATCTTTGGTTGGTGAGAGAGACAAGCTTTTGAGCTACACAGAGTTCTTCTTTGGGTCTGGGAAACTAACTTAGGGCTTGTCTCCACTATGAGGGGAGCGACTGATCAACCGGCAGTCGATTTAGCAAGTCTAGTAAAGACCCACTAAAGTGACCACCGATCACTCTCCTGTCAACTCCAGTACTCCAGCAGGACAACATTAGGGGAATCAACAGGATATTTTTTGTGTCAACCCTCTGCAGTGTGTACTGTGCAGTAAGCAGATATAAGCTAGTCGATCTGAGTTCTACTAACATAACTCAAATTGCTTAGATTAGATCGATCTGTCCTTGAAGTGTAGACCTTGTCTAAGAGTATTACTGCTAATACAAGGTGAAACAGATTGTTTAGCATGCTGGTTCCCAACCGCTGGGCTGTAGCCCACTGCTGGGCCACTGACCTCTGGCTGTCGGGCCGCAGTGGCTCTGGGGGCTGGGGTATGTTGCTCTCACCACGGCTGTTAGGAGAGGCATATCCTGCCACAACTTTCAGTCATCCAGTGCCAGGCAGGGGCAGTGTCTCCTCCCAGCCGCAGAAGAGTGTTTCCCTGTGTGGAGGGAAGACCGTGCAGATTGCCTATCACCTCCCCTCCTGCCATGGCTGTTGGGAGAGGCATGTGTACAGGCAGTCCCCGGGTTACGTACAAGATAGGGACTGTAGGTTTGTTCTTAAGTTGAATCTGTATGTAAGTCGGAACTGGTGTCCAGATTCAGCTGCTGTTGAAACTGATCAGTTTCAGCAGCGGCTGAATCTGGATGCCAGTTCCGACTTACATACAGATTCAACTTAAGAACAAACCTACAGTCCCTATCTTGTACGTAACCCGGGGACTGCCTGTAATTAGAAGCTGGGAAACAAACTGGACCCCCAGGCCTGGAGATTTTTTGAGTCAAGCTCTGAGTTCTAGTTACTATTAACATGTCACTGGTTGGCAGGTTGAAACAAAAGGTTCTTAAAAGCCCTACAGATTGGGGTAGACCTATAGCCCTTGAACTTCTATGAAAACCGAATAAAATAAAAAAAAAACTCCCTTATTTATCCCTAAGTATAACAAATAGTGATTTTATCCATATAGATTTATATCTGTGGAGATCTATTATATATTTTGAAGAGTTTGTTTGTGGATTTCTTATGTAAAATAAAACCATACTTCGTGATTACCTACAGATACCAAATTTTGCATAAACAATCCTGTCACTTAAATTAACTGATTGCACTACTTTTTACACCGGAATATGCTGGGTGAAAGGTTTAAATAATTATTTTAGTTTTCATTGGAAAAATGTCATCATGGTTGTATTAGAGTTCATAAAAATATTTGCTAGCAAAATTAAAATTGAACCTTCTATTCATTTTAGTGCAAAGAAAATTTTTACTGCAAGAGCCAAGAGCATACCAATCCCATGTTCCAATAGCAAGCATACCTGTAGGAGAAAATCAAAGAGCGCCAATTTGGCCCATTCCGTGTGCTGGACACTCAAACACGGAGCTATTCCGAGAGCTGCTGTGGAGTCCGCCATGCCACACCGCTGCCGCAGCAGAGACTGATACTGTAGCCAACCAAGTGCAAAAGAGTTCTGGTCATTGTTGGGGTCATCGAGGTGCTGGATATCTGGCACCCACCATACGATGGGCCTCGCTGCACCGTTGGTATATTTATAGGGCATCAGGGGACTGTTGAATTTGCGGGCCACTGCAGGCGGACTCCTATTCAGCCCCAGCACTCTGTCCAAGTGGAAAGCTAGCACCTCATAGAGGTCACTGGGCCGCTTTATTAACCCACAGAGCCCATCCGAACAGTCTTGTTTAAGGTCAGATGGGGAAATGTCTTGGCTGGCCGAAAGGCTGACTCTGAGTATTTGTCCATGGGCAGGAATTCTAGTTTTGGTCACCACTTTGCCATTTGCCAGCCATTTCATCTTCTGCACGTCGTCTGCCGTAAACCAAGGTGGGATCCTCTCCCCAAACCTCAGGCTTCCCTCCCATTTGGCAGAAAGGGCATCTGCTCGAGTCTTCATACACCATTCTGATGTCTGTAACTGCTTAGCCACATCCACCCCGAAATGAGCTCCTGGCTCTCCAGGCTCCTGGGAGTAACTGCCTGTCTGTCTCTGAGTGCTTGCTGCACTTTTGAAGGGCAGCCTGATATCTGCTTCTGAGATAAAGGCTTTAATCAAATCTGAATGCTGCAGCTCAGTGCCAGCTGCTTGCACATCTGGTTTGCATTGGTCCTGCGCCACAGCTAGCTGGCTTGCAAAAGAGTTCTTAAGAAGTAAAACAAACTCCCGCTTTCCATCCTGCAAACCCCTTTTATTGCTGAGGGAAGAAGAAAAGAAAGGGGCCGCCGCCATTTGTGGTTTCATATCTGCCTTCTTCACTGTCAGTTTATAGAAATGACTATTGTTCCCCATATTCTTTAGTGAAAAATGAGTATTAAGCTCCCTTTTCTTCTCACCATTGGTCCCGCGAGGAATGTTTTCATGCGGTAATTTATTGCTGGCTTCAGAGCTTTTCCCAACAATGTTATGTTTCCTAATCTCTCCTTTCTGCTTTCTCTTTGCTTTCAGCAGCGTGTGGTTTTGTTGGCGCAGGCTGCTTGGCTTGATCTTTTGTTTGCAAGTGGCATGGGGATGGTGTGAGGATTGCCTGTCCTTATTGGTGCCAGGAGGAGCGGACTTCCATTCACTGTGGTCAAAGCTCCTGGCCCCCCAGGGAACAGAGGTAGTGGTGTGTGTCCACAGTCGCCTGGGCCGGATGACTTTCCTATCTGGCTCAGCCAGTACCAAGAACTGTAAATCGGACTCCCTGTAGCTGTTTGGAAGCAGCAGTGGAAAACTTGTAAATGCCACCACAGAGAAAGCAAGCAAGAAGCAGAATCCAGCCACAGGTGGCTTCTTCAGCCTCCCCCTTCTCCGTGATCTCTGAGCCTGTGGAGGCAGAAAGAACAACCTTATTGACTACATCATGGGGGAAAGCTAGAGCTAGGACAGAACCTGTCTTCATGAAATGTATTGGCCTACAGGGAGTTTGGTTGATCAATGCAAATGGTATCCATAAATCATATTGTATTAGCTCTCACACAAGTAGCATCTGTACTTCCAGGAAGATCGGTGCTCTGTAGGTCGATCTTCCAGGTTCAATTTAGCAGGTCTAGTAAAGACCCGCTAAATCGAACACTGAGGATGCACCCATCGACCCTGGTACTCCTTGGAGTTGCGAGGAGTAAGGGAAGTTGATGGGAAAGTTTCTCCCATCGACCTCCCACTGTGGGGCCAACCCAGAAATTCGGTTTAAGGTATGTTGACTCCAAAAACACTATTCTCATAGCTGGAGTTGCGTATCTCAAATCAAAATTTCGCCACCAGTGTGGACTTAGCCTATGGCTCCTATACAGCTCCCACTAATGTCAGTAGCAAACCCCCAGTGATATCAGTGGGAACAGGGCTGGGCTGTGATGTAACTCCAGAGGCTTCACCGAGGCTGAATTTGGCCTAAAGAGGGGAAGAAAGTGAAAAAGTCAGGGTTTTTAATTAAAAAGACAATTATGCATCATCCTGGCCATTGTAAAACATGCTTCACTGCTTCACCAGCACTCTGATAATATCTTATTATTGGGGGACAGCAAGAGAGCTTAAAGGAACATCTGGAAAGACATAGATTTCCAGTGCATAACGTAATGCCAACTATTGCAGGACTTTGACTTATATTTGCCATAACCCTCTATGTCTCTGCCTTGCCTCTGTCTCTTTCTCATTTTGTATAGATTCATACATTCCAAGGCCAGAAGGGACCAGTGTGATCATCTGGTTTGACCTCCTGTGTAAGGCACACCATGGAACTGCCCCAAAATAATTCCTAGAACAGATCTTTTTGGAAAACACCAAAATTGTGATGTGTAAATTGTCGAAGGTGGAGGATGACCCTTTGTAACTTGTTCCGATGGTTAATTACTCACTGTTAAAATCTGAATGCCTTATTTCCAGTCTGAATTTGTCTAGCTTCAGCTTCCAGCCACTGGAAGTTGTACTCTTCTCTGCTAGACTGAGGAGTCTATTATTCAATACTTGTTCTTCATGTAGATACCTAGGGTATGTCTACACTACAGAGTTAGTTCGAACTAACAGACGTTAGTTCGAACTAACTTTCATAGGCGCTACACTAGCGCTCTGTTAGTTCGAACTTAATTTGAACTAGCGGAGCGCTTAGTTCGAACTAGGAAAACCTCATTTTACGAGGATTAAGCCTAGTTCGAACTAGCTAGTTCGAATTAAGGGGTGTGTAGCCCCTTAATTCGAACTAGTGGGAGGCTAGCC